CTGTACGCAGTGCTCGAAGTTGTTTGAAGAAGGACGAGTAAAGTCTTTGGAAGGTTCATGTATTGAGGAGTTAGATTTCAACAAATTGTCGAGGCACTGAATGAACTGAACAGAATGAGAAGAATTGAGTAACAAAATCAGAAACTTAAATGAAAGTAAAAAAATTTTTTTATGTTGAGCATTTTTATTAAAGAAAAGAGTATAATGATGTAGAAAGCTAAAGACATATAAGGTCCTATGCATCAGTCATCACACCACTTTCCTCAGCAATCCACGGTATTGATTAAATAAAATTATAAAATCGTTGGGCGTAGCGTAACCTGAGTAAATATGTGAATACTACGCCTAACGATTTTCTTATTTTGTCTGATCAATACCGTTGATTGCTGAGGAGGGTGGTATGATGACTGCTAGCTAGGACTCTTTTACATATTTTTTTACTCATTTTATCCATAGAACTAACGAATAATTTTGATTTCATATTTTTTTTTTGAAAATATAAAGTTTTATCGATGTTCAAGGAAAAATGAAATGTGTTCATTTTAGGGCCATGATTAACAAATAATAGTTCAATTGATTTTGCGACATTACCAATCAAAAAATTGCTAAAAATGTATAGGTCCGCATTTGAAGCTTCAAATTTGAGGGCGCCTCAAGTCGAACAACACTCTGCATAAAAATGTTTTATCATATTCTGGTGGTTCAGTTAAAGTTGTTACGGAAAAATGTATACCGATTTCCAATATATCTGCAAATATAGAAGATACAACAGAAAATAAATTTCGAAATATTTATATTATTCCATATATAACCAGAATCAAAAAGCTATACTCAATTTCAAGAATCATTCAGGAGTACTCGAAACTATGCAGCTTTGCCATAATTCAATTTAATCCTCTTACCGTTCTTTACATATCCATGCCTTTATGATTTTTTTCACTACTTTTTCTCAAATTGATTTGAATACATGGGTACTTCACTGGTCTAGTCATTTCTCACTAGTATTTCAAATCTGTTTATTTTTTTCAGACAGCAGTAGTCAGAATTTATGATATTGTGGCAAAACAAGATTTTATCTGATTCATTTAATGCAATGACTTGAAAATTATATGTCAGTAATAAGTATTCTTTCCTCATATGGAAGAAGGACACAATTCGATACACATATTCATGTATCTTGAAGATTCATATTTTTTCAAAATCTTTTATTTTAATTCTTCAAGGTGTTTGTTTCCTGAGCTAACAAGTCGATAAATAATTTATACTGTAACATTCAATCAACTGTTTATCCCTCTTAGTGATGGATGAGTTTTGACATTAAATTTTCCCCTTTCATAGCCGACTGACATATTCTTCCTTGTTTCTTTTATCCCAATCAGTGCAGCCAATTTGGGTGAAATCCGTTGAGATGGAAATTGAAATTCCCTCTTCGATTTCCGTTTAAAGCCAAATTAACCGTATTGGCAGGTAGCGAATCGTCTTACAAATGGCCAATATCCTAACCAATTGATCATTGGAGTGGTATGGAGAATTTGAGTTTGGAACTTTTTTCCCCGCGGAATTGGATCGTGGCCAACTTGTCTGAAAAATAAATTCCATTCGATTTTCTCTGATTAGCCTGCCAATCACTGCGGTGGGAAAACTTTGGAAATTGGTATAAATTTCGTTGAAAACGGCGTTTAGGGAATGCACAATCTCTCTATTTCCTGAAATCTCTGTATATATCCAGCATTTTAGATTCATTAAAACAAAATTTTTTCTTTTTGTTTTACTTCATCGATACAAAGAAATTGTGCATCCATAAAAAATGAAAAAGTAATAAATATCGATAAAAAATTATTCGTCATACGGCAGTGGGCATGGATTCAAATAATGGAACGATTCGTTACTTGATGAAAATGAATAACACTATTCATGAAAGTGATAACACAATTTTCACAAACATTTTTATTTCTAGACGAGTTTTACTAACACAGTAGCTTCTTTGGTAGAAATGCGTCCCACTCCAAGGTCGATTTTCTGGAAAAGGCACCACCCACTGTTCCCACACTAGAATCCACAATGCCGAAAATTACTTTTCGACAACGTCTAGTTAGGCGAATTTTGGAACAGCGTCTGGTCCTGATGGAGTGCCGAAAAAGTTCGCAAATAAACTCGCACCAGTATTTTGCAGACTTTTCAACCTGTCTCACAAGGAAAACATGTTTCCTTCTTGTTGGAAGATTGCTCGCGTTCAGCCTATTTCCAAAAAGGGCAAGAAAAATGTTCCAAATAACTATAGACCAGTCGCTTTGCTATCAGTGATATCAAAATTATGAAGAAAGCCGTTTGGATTATTTTCGTGTATGTCTCTCCAGGTTCCTGAAAAAACGTTTCCTGCAAGTGGTCGTCGATGGAAATTTTTAGAATACTCTTAACATGAACGCTGGTATTCCTCAGGGATCCATATTGTCTCTAACCCTCTTTTTATTGTATATTCAACATATTGCTTTGCTGATGACAGTACTCCTGTCTCCATATTCCATTTGGATTCCATGACATCGGCTGCGGATGCACATCTTCACCAGCAGCGAGAGGTTGCATATCTTAATGAGGATCTAGAAGTGATTTCTAATTGGGTTGAAACTCTTCAGGTTCAATTTAATGCCACAGGCATCGTTTTCTTCAAAAATATAAATGTCTCCGAACCGGATATAATAATGTCATGACAGACAATTCCGCTCTCTCCTTCAATAAGTTTGTTGGGGATTGAAATGGACACCAATATATCTTGGCACAATCATGTCGAACCAGAAAACTGTACTTTTGATGTTTTATTGAGATCAGATCAGACCTTCTTTGGAGTATTTTTCTCATGTATGGAGCTCTGCCCCTAAGTATACCCTGAAGCTGCTGGATTGCATCCAGAAAAGAACCATCCACCTATTTGGAGACGCGAACATCACTTGCAACATTGACTTTCTGGAACATTGATGAAAGGTTGGGAATGTGTCTCTCTTCTATAGTACTTTCACGGGAAGTATTCAAGTGACTTGGCACATTTGATTTCACTCACCAAGAACAGTAGGTACATATCAGAAATACGCGACGGATTGTGGCTGCTTATCGTTTAGAGATTCAACTCAGTACACCACGAAGTTCACTGTTCACGAACTTTTTTATTCGGAGAACTGCGTTTATGTGGAATAAACTTCCTGAAAACGTTTATCCAAATGGATTCAATCCCCAGCGGTTCAAATCCAATGTGAATCGTTACTTTCGCAGAGGCGCCGGTTTTAGAGACCCTTAAGGATTTTCCTGTAGTGCTTGTGTTTTGTCTTAAAGAATGTGTTTTAGCGAAACACGTCTATAAATTGAAATGTTTGTGAAAATTGTGTAATTGTGAAAATCAGTTGGCTCGGGATTCAAATGTATCAGTCACTGTGAGTGAAATCATATCATCGGATGAAAATATGTTTAGGGAGTTTAAATCACAATTGATATTTTTATATACACGAATGAAATAATTTTGACCACTTCAATGTCAAAGCAACCTGTAGAAAAGAATAGTTGGAAAAGTGGTTCCTTTTCAATCCCGCAGACATCACGGACAAAATGTGTAGTGTGACGATAGAAAATTCGAGTGTTGAAGATGAAAGGCCCCACAGCCGTATTGTGACAGTTCATAAAATAGGATAAAAGTGCTCCTCAACTGATAGAAGGTCAACATTTCAGAGATTTCAAATACCTTCTTCGGGTATTTTCCACAATCTGAAAGATATGTTTGCTAAAATGTTTGCTCTTTCTACACGTGCAGAAAAGGTGAACATTTTAGTTCACTCCGATGTGTTATTGCGTAAATTCAAAGTATTTTTCACAAATAATTTTGCCTATCAAAAATAGTGCTGGAAATTATACAGATACTCGAACTTCTTCACTTCGTTTCTAAACTTCAATATGCCTATCAAGGTTTTAAGTGATGTTCGCGTCTCCAATCAGGTGCACGGATTTTTTGATGGAATCCAGCAGCTAAGGTATGCTTAAGGGCGGAGCTCCATACATGAGAACAATACTCCAAAGGAGGTCTGATCTGAGCTTTATAAAGCATCCAAAGTTATTGGGGTGTGTACAGTTTTCTCGTTCAGAACAGTGTTCCAAGATTTTGAAAAGCAGCCTTCGCTATTCCAGCGACATGATTGTGCCAAGATATATTGATGTTCATTTTAACCACCAACAAATTTATCTGAGCAGGTAGCCGAATTGTCTGTCCTGAAATTATTATTATATCCGGTTCGGAGACATTTATCTTTTTGGAGAAAACCGATGCCTGGGTTTTCGTAACATTGAATTGAACCTGATTACTTTCATTTCAATTCGAAATCACTTCTAGATCCTCATTAAGATATGCTATCTCCCGCTGCCGGTGAAGATGTGCATCCGCAACCGATGTCCTGGAATCCAAATGGAATGACCAGACTTGCTTGTCGTCGACAAAGCAATATATTAGATTGGATAAACCAAGCATTTCAAACAAACTGAATCCCGTCAATATTAGCAGTTGTTCGAATTTACATAGAAAAATTAAAATATATAAGAGTTCTTTTTATTAGAATCAAAAATGTTTATCATCTGTTCGAATTTCCATATTCAATACAAATGAAAATTAAAATATTCGGAATTTTGTTCTGCAAAATGGTGGACGCAACACGTACCTATGAAAACAGTTTTTATGAACTAGCAGAAATTTGTACGCGTCCGAAAAACAGTTGCTTCTGGACTTGATACATGAATTAATATTTTAATCGTTGCTAGAAAGCAATACACATATGGAAAACATGGCCTGAAAGTTACTAATTCTTCAAACCTGTGTAAAACTTTTCGCTTGGTTCAAACTATGAAGAAAATGTGGCGTACTTGATATTTTATTCATATTTATTATGAAATGAGGCTTTAAAGATCAAAAAAAAAATTCAGTGAACCTTGGCTGATGTGGTAGTTTTCGGTTGCTGGGTAACCGTTAATATATTTTGAATTTTCACTTTCAGTCTGTCAAAAGTATTTTTAAGAAATTATTGACCTTCTTTGGAAATTTTCACCTCCATCAATTTTAAATACATGGAAATTGTAATGGAATACTTAATACACATGTAGAAAGTGCTAACTTTTCAGAACTGTGAGTAGTAATTGCTGTTGTGTATAAAATAAAAACTGATAGTGAATTTGAGTGTACTCTACATTGAAAAGTTTCAGCAATGGCGTGATACAAACAGGATCAAATCATCCTTTGGCAACTTTGAGGAATTATCCAGGAAATATTAGGCATCCATTCTGATAAAAATTTTAAATTCCTGGAGCTACTCGTAACATTGAAAACAATTGTGTGTCACCAACAATAGCTACATATTTTGCAATGTATGTAATCACTTCTACTATTGAGCAATTCCATCTATAAAGCTGTATTTATTGTTTTATTATAGATTCTTCTAAATCATCTGGAAATTATTGAATGAATCGAAATAAATAGACGAATGTTTCTCTTTCATATTCTCTGCAAGTGATTCTGTTTAGTCTCCGACAATATTTGATTAACAAACTCTATAAATTCTGAGCAAAGAACCCTTACTAAGAAGGAGACACCTATTCATAACTTATATAATGGCCTTCCCTGTTATTTTTAATACTACTTGGTTCCACAACAGTTATTATTTTCCATATTTTCATCACATACTGGCCCATTGACCATCAATTCAAGATATGACGTTTGTGTTGCATATTTATTTAACTCATCATCAACATATCACTGCCAACCCCAGTTACTGGATGTTTCTATCACGATCATATCTTGAATTATTAACCCTTCAGATGAATCCCCAATGTATTCGTTCGATATGAACCCGCAATGACAATTATTATCAAAGCACATTTCGATCGCCATTTCAGTCCACCCTCGCAACCAATTTTTTGAACGAACCCGTCCCGGGAATCCATTCTCTCCAATTTGCGCGTGAAACATTGCTCGACGCATCCTCCAGTTCTGGCAATTATCGTCAAATTTCACGTGACATCCGATAGAAGAGAGACGAGCGGAAACACTTGGGTCGAATCCATCAAGCAGAGTGACAACATTTATCCAGAGTCCTGGAACACGCAAAGGGAAGAATATCGCCATTCCGCTAACCGTATTCCATTTCTCTCTATTCGGTGAATCAATAATCAATCCACGGGGTGTGAGGACTTGGACGGTCGAAGAGGTGGAGGAATAGTTTGAAAAACTGTTCCATTTTTTTACCGAAACGACTCTTTTTTCATCGCTTTTTATATACAGGGTCGCTGATATGTATGGAAACGGTCGGTTATCTCTTAAAGTAAAATAGCTAGCGAAAAATGTCACGATACAAAAGTTTTCTAAATGAAAATTGAGTAGTTTCCCTCTGGTGTTGGGAAAAAACTCCAGTAATATTCATTACTACACCAAGGATTCCAAACAGTGCATCACAAATATAGGATCAGTTGCTGTTTCTTTATTAGAATAACTTATATATCATTCCATTTTTCAATTCTGCTCGGAATTTTGAACAAAATTGACAAACCACATCATTTCCTAAATTCAACCATTTTCGAGATATCGAGATTTGAAAATAACTTTTCACTACTCTTAAATTAATTAAAGAAAAAGCACGAAATGATAGATATTCATTATGAAAGTTACACAAGGTGGAGTATGTGGTTGCGATTACAATTTCATTATAATTTTTTTGTTGGAAATAAAAAAAACATAATTGTTCAGGTTTGATAAAAATGCATGAAACGAAAAAATGTATTTTTTAATGAATGCCTAGGATATTTGATATTTTATGAAAACTATAGTTATGCCAGGAGAAAAAGAGAGAAAACAAGTTTTAATTAACAACAAATATTTTCTTCAAAATTCTATTCAATAAGTTGCTCAAAGTGTTTACCATTTACTACCTCCTGACAGTGACAGTGGAAAAAATCAAGTGGAATCATATCGGGAGGCCTAGCTGGTCATTTATTTGCTCCCCTGCGTCCAATTCATTTATCAGGAAAAGTTTCATCTAGATATGCCCCTACAACATGTCCAAAATGTGAAGGAGCCCCATCTTGTTGAAACCATATTTGTTCTGCCGGCAAATTGGGATTGTTATTATTTGGGAATAATCGTCTAAGCTCTGGAATAATATGCTGTTGTGAAAGTAATAAATATCATTCAGAGGTCAAATTTATCACCAGAAGACGATTGTGGATACTGACAATCGAAACGTTGTGAAGTAACTTGGTTAGGAATCTTTTAATTATATATTTTCAATTTTCATTTTTTGTTAATAATTCTGAATTTTTTTAGCTCGTGTTACTAGTTCAATTTTTTTTGTTTTTTTTTGGTTGTTGCTTGTATTTTATTTCATTATACTTTCAGTTTTTTGCTTGATAAAATTGTTTTTTCAGCTAATCTTTTTAATTTTTTACAGATTCTTTCAGGAATTTCGAATCAATTTATATCATATTAGACAATGGAAGTCCGAACTGATGAAATGAACTACGAAACATTGTCAACCACCTTCAAACAAACGTTTAATACCTCCAGTTTTATGAAACGGCTGCAATGTTTTTGAAACGGTTGATTTAGATATAAATAGATTCCCGATTGGGATGCAATTCATTAAAAATATCTACTACTTGGTCACAACTTCGTGTTCTGTAACCGTATCCTATGATCATTAAAATTTCAATACGTTCAGTATCAGTTGAACGTGTCAGTTTTGCGCGAAAATTATCTACACAAAATGTGTTTTTGACATGTGTTGTCAACATCATTATTGTTAGACAAAAGAACGACGCGTCGTTGTTATTGAGCTGAAAACTTTCAAAAGAAAATGATAATGTGCTATATCAGAATTTCGATCAGAATTGAAATATGAAATGATATATAAAGCAACTTTATTTCTTCAAGACTTTTTGACTGATCCTGTATACCTAATTTTCATTTAGTGTGATATATTTTGAAAAACCCTGATTTTTTTATCTTAAAATTTTTCGCTAGCTATCTTACTTTAGGAAATAGTCGACCATTTCCATATATAACAGCGACCCTGTATATTGCATTGAAGAAAGTCGAGCGTCGAACGAATCGATGAAGAAATATGCCTTTTTGTTCTACAGATATAACTGCATAATTATATAGTGCAAACGATAAGATTGACAATGGTGTTGCATCACTCGTCGCTGAGAGGGCACTACGAACCAATTTTTTTTGGAAAACAGTTATTCAGTTTCGCCAATATCTCCTTAACTGTGTGGGTTTGGGAAATTAATACCAACTTTTTTCGAAGTAGATTGAATTTACTGAGAAATGACTTCCTTATCATTTTTTTAAAGTTAAATTAATTTTTATTACAAATATGTAGGACATACAAGAATAAACAACAGTAAATCACTTGTGTAAATAAATAACTGTGAAATAGACCTTGAATAGCGGCAAAATGACTATTCCTATAGAAAAGTTATCGCGATGAAAGTTGAAGGAAATAAGTGACCAGATTGAACAGTTTTTTTTATGATTTTCGTCATAATAATTATTGTTTTACTTGGATTCATTTTTTGACATGATAGTACATACTTGCCTGGAATTAATCACGATATCTTCTTATTTCTCATCAATGGAATGCTGTTTCATTGAACATATTCATTCCACTTTGGACGCCCACTTTTCTGTCCCGTTGTGCGGGAAAACAATTTTTTGTGATAGTGGTACTTATCGTCAACAGCCCCGAAGTCCTCAGTTTCAAGGTTCAAGTACTCAAACATTCCCCAGTTACCACCTCTACATTCAACTGCTCTTAGAAGAATCCCTTATAGAATTCATTGTTGAAGGAACGTTGATATTTCGTCTTTCTTTGGGTAACACATTTCTTCTAGAGAGATACTACAATTTTTATACGATAAAAGTTTCACAGTGTATAAAATGAACTGAACGTTCGCTCAATGAAAGTCATTTTTCCGGTATCCCTCTTGAAAAATGAAAAAAATTAAAATTCCAATTTTTTTAAAGAAACTCTTATATTTGAAGAACCAAATCTCTGTAACTGATCAACTCAGAAAAACGAAGTAGGTCTCACTTTTCAGAAAATTAAACATACTTTGAAAATGAGAATGAAAAAAAATTCCAAACTTGCATAGTTCAGAAATCATTGGCGATGATACGAAAAAAGTGCGACAGAATCGCAGTTTTTCGGTCACCATTTTGTTGCACAGCTTTCCGAGGGTTGCAACATTAATATCGACAATATTAACATTAATGGTACAAAACTCGTATTCAAAAATCAGTTATACTCCATTCGATGTGCCTTTTCTGTGTACGTTTCGCCTAGGCTATGGAAACTTTTTGAGAGTTGATGCCGAAAACCTATTTCTTTTCTTTAGTTGAAACAGTAGAGAACGCGTATTGTGTTTGTTTTTGATATGATGCATTTTTTCTTCTGAAATGGCATTATTTTGATGAAGGATATACCCGCAATTCCGCCCGAGTGATATGGTTCGACTCCTGAAATTTACAAACAACAGACAAGAGCTATAGTACGACTATTCAAAAAAAAATTCGATATCCGCAAGGTTCAATCTTTATCTATGTGTGGGTATCATTTTTTTGTTGCACCCCTGTTCAACCCCTGCGCATTTCAAGGTGGTCAAATTCTACTGAATAAACTCTGATATACACTCGTGGAAATAGAACCCAACACCAGACAGTACGATCCGTCATACTGAGTTGAATCATAAATACAGTGCTGGATTCAACTGTCCGTAGAGGACAAGCCAGGGTGAGTAGAGACGATGAAATCTATGGGATTGACAGAAGACCCAATTTTCGAATATCAAAGATGAACGCGGAGGTGGTCAGTTGCAAAGTTTTGACATCGACCACTAAACGAGATTCGTCCTCTGATTTTCACTACAGCTTTCACTGCAAGGTATAAGGTTGAAAACCAGAGACCAAACACAACAATTTATGATTCAACACCAAAAAGTACTGTTTCAACCTGATATTGATCGAATCTGGCATTGTGTGAATTGGAAATCGATATACCGTTTGTTTTTTTTCGAAAAATTATCGATTGCGAACTCTTGCAGACTCCAGAAGTGACAACACATATATTATTAATCATAACCAACCTCAAAACAACTATAGATCTATCTCTTTACGTAGAACTGTGTAATGAAATTTTAAAACAATATTATTCAATAATATTGAAATAATGAAACATATAACAAATAAATGATATATTGTAAATATTCAAAGAACGAAGACATTTCCGAATGACGAAAATGATATTTGAATATTGAATACGATATTGATTGAGTTGAAAACGTTTTCCAGAAAAATGAAGAAATTAAATGGATAATGAAACAGTGGAAAAATATTTTGTAATTTTTGAGCATTCAAAGCGTAATAGAAGGATGAAATATCTACTTGTTGTT